CTGCCCTCCACACCCCCGAATCCCAACCCCCAACTCGGGTGGAATCTCTGTCTGTCCAGAGCCTTGGGAAATCCTCCTGACGTGAAAGGCGCATTACACATGTCATTTTGTTGTTGTTATTCCGGTCTGTAGGTGCGAGGTGGGTGGGGGGGGGGGGTGTGGGGGGGGCTGGTGGGTGGGGGGGTTTGGGTGGGGGGGGGAGTTCGGAGATGTCACAGCAATGTGATGAGTTGCTATATCAAATGCAAGGATTATTATATATTATAACCGGTTACAAGGTGACACTTAACAATGCAGCCCACAGTTTGTGACGGTCTCCAGACCGGGTCCTGAGCCAACCAAGTCCACAATACTCCACAGCGCTGTTGATGACAGCACAGTCCAACTTGGCTCATTGGCAGGACCTGGAAGGGCCGACCAGTCACTGGGGGCAGAGAATCCTCCCGCTCAGCTCCTGGTAACCCTGCAGCCAAAGCCCTCATGGTTAAGGTGACCCTACCTGGACAATTATAATAATAATCCTGGCATGTGATATAGAAAGCTGGACAGTTAGCGCTCTCAATGGCAAGCGATGTTGGTTTTAGATGGTTGGACTCCAGCAGTTACCCCAAAGTACACTCTGGGGTCCCCAAGCCTTAGCTCTTGCCAACCTGTGCCTAATACTCTCCAGAATTAGCTAAGCTGGATGTGTCCCTGCAAACTTGTCCTCCACAAATAATTATCTCCTTCTCTCTTAAAAGTTGATATGGAATCGGCTTCCCTCAGCCTTTCAGGCAATGCATTCCAGATCCCAACAACTCGCTGTGTGGAAACATTTCTCCTCCCCTCCTCTCAGTTCCTTTGTGTGTGTTGGGTGTCTGTGTATGTTTGTGTGTGTTGGGTGTCTGTGTATGTTTGTGTGTGTTGGGTGTCTGTGTATGTTTGTGTGTGTTGGGTGTCTGTGTATGTTTGTGTGTGTTGGGTGTCTGTGTATGTTTGTGTGTGTTGGGTGTCTGTGTATGTTTGTGTGTGTTGGGTGTCTGTGTATGTTTGTGTGTGTTGGGTGTCTGTGTATGTTTGTGTGTGTTGGGTGTCTGTGTGTGTTTGTGTGTGTTGGGTGTCTGTGTATGTTTGTGTGTGTTGGGTGTCTGTGTATGTTTGTGTGTGTTGGGTGTCTGTGTATGTTTGTGTGTGTTGGGTGTCTGTGTATGTTTGTGTGTGTTGGGTGTCTGTGTATGTTTGTGTGTGTTGGGTGTCTGTGTGTGTTTGTGTGTGTTGGGTGTCTGTGTATGTTTGTGTGTTGGGTGTCTGTGTGTCTGTGTGTATGTTTGGTTTCAATGTGTCTCTGCCCACACAGTATTCTCGCACAGCGGATGGACAATGATCGTCCCGGACGAGGTGACGGCTGAGAACGGGGCGACAGCCATTATGTCCCTCTGGTTCTCTCACCCAAATAGCCATTACAGCGGTGACATCACGATCATATGGAGGAGAGATAACAAGGACCTGATCAGCTTTCAGTGCTCCGGGGACAGCGCAGCTCAGGGTCGGCCCCGCAAGTGTGAGACCCGGAAACCGAAGCCCGGGGGCGAGCGGTACCGGCTGCTGGGGGACCCCTGGCATAACAACGCCGCACTGATGATAGACCCCGTGAGCAGTGAGGACCAGGGGGGGTATCTGTGCCGAGTGGAGCTTAACATCGATGGGCAACAGTTTGATTCCCCCAACACCGAGCTGTCAGTGACAGGTGAGGAGACCGGTGTCTGTGCTGCTCTGTGACACAACAACCCGTCGCTGACCCCCCCCCCCCCACCCCCCCAAACCCCTACAATTGGCTCCTCTTCAGATATCTAACCAATTCCCTCCTGAAACCTAACCGGGATCCTCCCTCAACCCCCACTCCCAGCCGGGCATCTCACAACGAATCATAGAATCTTACAGCACAGAAGGAGGCCATTCAGCCCATCGAGCCTGTGCCACCTTTTTGAAAGAACTGCCAACAAATCCCACTCCCCCGCTCTTACCCCAACTGGTCCCACTCCCCCGTACTTACCCCAACTAGTCCCACTCCCCCCCCCACCCCAACTAGTCCCACTCCTCCGCTCTTACCCCAACTAGTCCCACTCCCCCGCTCTTACCCCAACTAGTCCCACTCCCCCGCTCTTACCCCAACTAGTCCCACTCCCCCGCTCTTACCCCAACTGGTCCCACTCCCCCGCTCTTACCCCAACTAGTCCCACTCCCCCGCTCTTACCCCAACTGGTCCCACTCCCCCGCTCTTACCCCAACTAGTCCCACTCCCCCCTCTTACCCCAACTAGTCCCACTCCCCCGCTCTTACCCCAACTAGTCCCACTCCCCCGCTCTTACCCCAACTAGTCCCACTCCCCCGCTCTTACCCCAACTAGTCCCACTCCCCCCGCTCTTACCCCAACTAGTTCCACTCCCCCGCTCTTACCCCAACTTGTCCCAGTCTCCAATTCTTACCCAAACTAGTCCCATTCCCCTGCTCTTACCCCAACTAGTCCCACTCCCCCACTCTTACCCCAACTAGTCCCACTCCCCCCACTCTTACCCCAACTAGTCCCACTCCCTCACTCTTACCCCAACTAGTCCCACTCCCCCGCTCTTACCCCAACTAGTCCCACTGCCTCGCTCTTACCCCAACTAGTCCCACTGCCCCCTCTTACCCCAATTAGTCCCACTACCTCGTTCTTACCCCAACTAGTCCCACTCCCCCGCTCTTACCCAAACTCGTCCCACTCCCCAGCTCTTACCCAAACTAGTCCCACTCCCTCACTCTTCCTCCAACTAATCCCACTCCCCCGCTCTTATCCGAACTAGTCACACTCTCCCCTCTCTTACCACAACTGATCCCACTCCCCCACTCTTACCCCACAGCCCTGCACATTTTTCCTGTTTAAGTACGTATCCAATTCCCTTTTGAAAGCTATTATCGAATCTCCTTCCTTCACCCTTTCAGGCCGTGTGTTCCAGACCATAACAACTCTATTAAATCTCCCCTTAACCTTCTCTGCTTTAAGGAGAATAATCCCAACTTCTCTATTCTCCCCACATCCCTGGTATTCTTGTGAAGCTCCTCTGCACCCTCACCAGGCACTGACATCCTTCCTAAAGTCTGGTGCCCACAATTAATACTAATAATAATAATCCTGGCACACTGTGCACAATTGGCTGCCGCAAAATACACAGTTAATTCACTTTACAGCATATTCAGTGATGGGCTTTGAGATGTGATAATACTCATATTAAATGCAAGGATTATTATTTGATGTCTTCGAGACGTCTCAAAACGCTTCACAGAATATACTGTAAAGTGAATTGACTCCAACTGAGGCCATTAGTAAAGATTCAAGATAACTTCCTTACTTTTATACTCTGTGCCTCTGTTTAAGAGGTGACGGTAAACACAGTCGAAGAGGAACGTCTTGAGGTGTGGTCTGAAAATGGGGAAGGGGGGGCCAGGCGGAGAGATTGAGGGAGAGATCCCAAAGTTTCTGGGGGTAGTGGCTGAAAGCACGGCCACCGATGGCAGATCTGTAACCGTGGGACACTCCAGGCTCACAGTCCAGGCTGGTGCCCCAGGGTAGTGCTGGGGGAGCCCTGCCATGTCAGAGATGCCGTCAGTCGGGTCAGATGTTAAGCTGAGGGCCTGTCTGTGGAGGTTAAAGTTCCCGTGAAGCTGCTCAATAAGAGACTGGAGCTTAGAAACCGAACTCCCAGCCCTGACAGTGACTCCCGGGGAAGCTGTTTGAGACGCTTTGACATTGAACAGGAAAGTTTGACATCTTTATAAAAGTCACCTCTAAACCGTTCAACCGTGTGTCCCGGCCACTCCCTCGGCTCAGCGGGTACCGACCTGCTTCACCTCCTCCGCCCTCTCCTCTCCCCCATCGGTGATCGGCTTTCAGCCATTCTGCCCCCGGCTCCATGGAAATCCATCCCAAAGCCCCTCCGCCTCACCCATTCACCTTAAAACATTCCCCCCGACCCCATCCCTGAACGTTGCTGTATCAATGTGAACTGTATTAGAGCAGCTGCTGAGAAACTAATAATCATGTCTGTCTGTCTGTCTGTCTGTGTATATGTTTGTCCATCTCTTTGTGTATCTGTATATATGTCTGTGTACAAGTATCTTTGTGTGCGTACTCCGTGTGTGTCAGTGTATGTAACTGCAGGTGTCTCTGTCTGTATATCTGTGTGTGTTTCTATCTGTTGAATGTGTATCTCTGTATCTGTTTGTGTCTGTGTATGTGTGTCTGTGTCTCTCTGTATGTTCTGTGTCTGCGTATGTCTGTGTATATTCTTTGTGTGTATCTCTATGTTTATGTATGTGTCTGTGCGTGTGTTTGTGTGTGTGTCTATATGTTTGTGTGTGTTTGTGTCTGTGTGCACGTCTGTATGTTGTATGTGCGATTCTGCATTCATGTGTGTTTGTATGTGCGTCTATGTGTGTGCGCATGTCAGTTGGTGTCTGTGGGTGGGTGTGCAGTTATGCATGTGGGTGGGTGTGCATGCGGGTGGGTGGGCATGCGTGTGGGTGAGCCTGTATGCGGGTGGATGGGCGTGACTGGTGTTCGTGCGGGTAGGTGGGGGTGCAGTTGTGTGGGTGTGCGCTGTTGTGCGTATGTGTGGATGCAAGTGTCTGCGTGTGTGGGTGTTCGTGTGTATGGATGTTTGTGTGTGTGAGTGTTCGTGTGGGTGTGCGCGTATGTGCACATGTGTGCGTGTGTGTGTGGGTGCGCATGCGCGCGTGCGTATGTGGGTGTCTGTGCGTGGGCGTTTGTGCACATGTGTGCATGTGTGCATGGGCATGTGTGTGGGTGCGTGTGTGTGCTTGTGTGCACATGAATGAGGGTGCGTGTGCGCGTGTGGGTGTGTGTGTGTGTTTGTGCATGTGGGTGGGTGTGCGAGTGTGTGTGTGTGTGGGTGTTCGTATGGGTGTGCATGTGTGTGGATGTATGTGCCTGTGTGCGTGTGGCTGTGTGTGTTGTGAGTGTGTGACTCTGTGTGTTTCTTCTCTGAGGTGTTGACACAAACCACCGCCTGGTGATGGGGACGGTGGGAGAATCGGTGATGTTGCTTTGCCCACTGCCCTCTAATGGCCCTAAATATAAACTTGTCAACGTCACGTGGGTGAGGAAGGAGCCGTACAGCCACCTGGTGACCTTCAGACAGGAGGGTGGTTCCTGGAATAGGACGGAGGGTGATGAGCGGTGTGAGCTGAGGGGGAGCGCGGCTGATGGGGACATCACACTGACAGTGAGCCGCCTGGTAACAGAGGACAACGGCATCTACCTGTGTCTCGTGGAGGCTGAGAAGGAGAACAAGAGACTCGTGATCCAGCGGGAGATCAGGCTCCAGGTTCAGAGCTCTCCAGGTAAGATCCCTCTGTCTACATCCCTGACCCCAAACAACAGCAACTTGTTACAGTTACACAGCGCTTTTCACTTCAGGAGGACGTCCCGAGGCGCTGGACAGTTTAGAGTTTGCATCCTGGGGCTGGAGCCAAGAGGGGTGGAGAGCAAGGGGAATGAGGGTGGAGGGTGACTGGAGCCACGGTCAGAGAGGAAGGTCTTGAGACAGGTCTTGAAGGTTGCAAAGGAGACGGAGAGGTGCAGGGGATCCGGGACGGAATTCCAGAGGGTGGGGCAGAAAGGCTTAAGGCCTGACTGCCAATGGTGGAGCGGACAGGATGGGGGACATGGAACAAACTGGTGCTGCTGAGCGGAGTGAATGGACAATGCTCCAGTGGGGGTGTGAGCACCAGCACAGACAGGAGGGGGAGAGAGAACAGAGTAGACAGCTTCAGTGGGGAGCGAACACCAGCACAGACACGATGGGAAGGTTTCTTGGGTAGAATAACTCTGTGTTTCTTTATACCCGAAGGTCTGGCTGCCATCTACATTCTGTGGCTGATACCGGCGGTTAAATGTCTCTTTCTGTTGGTGATGGGGATCATTCTCGTCTGTAACACAAGAGGTTTGTCAATTCTTTGCTGTTTGCAGTTTAAAATACAGAAAGGAGGATAATACTCCTATTTTTAAGAAAGCAAATAAAAGTGTACCAGGAAACTACAGACCAGTACGTTTGATGCCCATTGTGGATAAAATTATTAAGGAGACTCTTTTTAAGGATAAAATCATGGAGCATCTGGACAGAAATCATATCATAAATGATAGCCAATATGGGTTCATGAAGGGAAGGTCTTGCCAATATAATTTCTTTGAGAGTGTGACAAGGGAGCTGGATAAGGGTAAGGCTGTGAATGCTGTATATCTGGATCTCAGTAAGGCCTTTGATCAATTTCTCTTGAGAGGCTGGTATTGAAAGTAAAGAATGCTCTGTGGCAGGAAATAAAGCAAACCAGATGTTGGAAGGGATCCAAAGATGAATAGCAGCCGAAATAGTGGGGGATTCCCTGTCACTGTATAAATCATTGTCGAGTCTTAGAATATTGGGTACAGTTCTGGTCACCGCAGTACACAAAGGGAATGGGAGACTGTACAGAGGAGGGCAACCGGAATGATTAAGATAATGGAGGATGATGAGGAGTGACTAAGTAAATTGGGTAAGTTCATGCTGACAAATCAAAGATTGAGAGGAGATATGATTGATGTCTATAAGATTCCAAAGGGGCTCGACAGTGAGGAACATGACAGACTGCTTCAGGTGTCCAGAATAGTAAAACCAAAGAGCAGGGGCTGCGATTGAAGGGATCAATTCAGAACAAATCTACAGAAACACTGTTTCAGTGAGTGAAAAGTAAACCTGTGGAACAGGAAGTGTTGGTTTCTTCAAACACAGATTAAATAATTTTCTTTTGGGAAATAACATTATAGGATATAATACATAAATAGTTGAGGACATATATGCATTCCAGAAAGGGGGAAGGCAAACGAGGCATTTCATCGTCTAGATTTCTTATGTTATAATAATAATGACAATAATCCTTGCATTTGGTATAGTGCTTTTCACGCTACTTGTGGGCGAACCCGGCAGCCAATTGCGCAATTGCATGTTCTTAATGTGCTTAACAAATGCAGTGAAAATTCACTTGGACATTACCACAGAGCTATAGAGGTCTATTGTGAAGGGAGGCTTGAGGAGTTGGGTCTTCAGTGCCCTGAGATGCTACGCTGTGTGGAGGACCCTATATCAGTGCAAGTTGTTGTTTTTGACTGGAGCTGAGAAGGTTAATGCGTCAGTAAATGCTTTTTCCTTTCTCCTAAGATCGTACAAGATCACAAGAGCTTCAGGTGAAGGAGAACATCTGATAACAGAGATCCTTCCTTCCAGTAACCCTCAGGCTGCCATCTCCCATTACAGCATTGACCTCAACAGCGACCCTTACACAGCACAATCCTGGAGGGTTACAGGCTCCTCGGTGTCCTTCCTCCCCTCCTACATGCTCACACACTCCCAACCTCCCTGCTCTACACTGTACTGCGCCAAACCTCAGGCCAGCCATGTGGTCAAGGCCTCAGGCCTCTTTGTTCCTCTCACACGGCCTACAGACACGATGCACTGCTCTCATACTGTCAGTTTATTGACCACTCACAGCCTCCAGCCCACAGACCTGTCACAGCCTCCAGCCCACAGACCTGTCACAGCCCACAGACCTGTCACAGCCCATAGGCTTCTCACAGTCTCCGAGGCACAGAAACAACAAAGGATGTGTGTCTCATCTGTTCACAAGTCAGAAGACCAGAAAGTCAGCTTTGCACAGAAATGACCTCAAATGCTGAGAAAAAGGAACCTTAAGGAAAACAATACAGACAGGACGATGGGCTATATTGCTAAACCAGTTGAGTTTAGATCCCCAAATGTCACACATAGGCTGTAGAGTTCTCTTGTCAAACCACACCCAGAGTATTGCAACAGTAACTCTGGCTCTGTGTGGGCAACAGTCACCCGGGCTCTCTAATAATAATAATAATAATAATAATCCTTGCATTTGATATAGCGCTTTTCACGTCGGGAGGACGTCCCAAAGTGATTCACAGAATACACTGTAAAGTGAATTGACTGTATATTTGTGGGCGAACGCGGCAGCCAATTGCGCACAGCAATGTCCCACAAACAGTCGTAGATTGAAAATGACCAATTTTTATTATTGTTTTGGTTTTGGAGGGATTATTATTAGGCTCTGTGTGGAGTAAGGAAACTTGCCCAAGGTTTCGCCCTCTGCCTGGAATTGAACTCAGGTCTCTCGCTTGCAAAGCGAGTGCTCTAACCACTGAGCTACAGGACTCCACAAGCTGCTCTGTGGGCAACAGTAACCCTGGCTCTGTGTGGGCAACAGTCACCCTGGCTCTCTGTGGGCAACAGTAACCCTGGCTCTCTGTGGGCAATAGTAACCCTGGCTCTCTGTGGGCAATAGTAATTTTGGCTCTGTGTGGGCAATAGTAACTTGGGCTCTCTGTGGGCAATAGTAACTTGGGCTCTCTGTGGGCAATAGTAACTTGGGCTCTCTGTGGGCAACAGTAAATGTTCTGCTTTTGAAGTGACTGAATAAAATCCTTTATGAAAGATCACTCAATGCTCTGTGTTACTGTATCTGTAGGGCTAAGTGTTCAAGCCTAACCCAAGTCTCTCTTTCTGCCCCCACCCTCAACTCCAGGACCACTGCTGTCCTGACAGACTGTCTGTCGGACATCAAGTCCTGGATGAGGGCAAATTTCCAACAGTTGAATGTGAACAACACTGAGGCCCTCCTAATTGGCCCTCTGCACCTCAGGCTCCGGCACCATCAACCTCCATGGTTGCACACGCCAGCCAGTCAGGAACCTGGGTGTCTTGTTTGACCCTCAACTGTCTTTTCTACCCCACATTCAAGCCATGACTCGCTCTGTCTTCCCTCACTTCCGTAATATCGCCCGACTCCGCCACTACCTCACCCCTCAGGCCACTGAAACTCTTGTTCATGCCTTCATCACCTCCAGGCTCGACTATGCAAACTCATTGCTTGTCGGCCTTCCCAACTCCTCCCTCCACAGACTGCAGATAATCCAGAACTCTCCCGCACCAAACTCCGTGACCCCATCTCCCCCACTCTCGCCCGACTCCACTGGCTCCCTATCCTTCAGAGGATCCAGTTCAAGATCCTGGTCCTCACCTACAAAGCCCTCCATGGCCTCAACCCACCCTACCTCTGCGACCTCCTAACCCCTTACTAACTCGCCCGTTCCCTCCACTCAGCGGCTCCGGCCTGCTCAACGTCCCCCAACCCACCCACCCCAGCATTGGCGGGAGAATCTTCAGTCACTCTGGAAATCCATCCCCCAGTCACTCCGCCTCGCCCCCTCTTTAGCCTTCAAGTCCCGACTCAAGACTCTCCTCGTCGACCATGACATCGGCCACCCCTCTTCCCCTCCCCTTCCTTCTCTCCCCTTGACCCCAACTCGGGTGTGAAATGCTGTCCACTGTCCACGGCCTTGGGACGTCCTCTCGACGTGAAAGGCGCTATACAAATGTAATCTTGTTGTTGTTGTAATCTGTTGCATTTGACTTATAATTGATAACGTTTTCAGTCAAGATCTGGACCAACAGAGAAGTATGGGAATATCTGCCAAAAATTGCGGTGATGACTGGAAATTTCCCAGGAAATTGCGGGGGGATGTTTGTCAAGTTTTGCAGAAAATTGCGGTGAGTTGATTGGTGATATTGAAGTGCATTTTACTGCCAACCGACATTTTTTCAATTTATTGTTAAAAACTAAATGTAAGGAAATAGCACATATGTTTTTGGATGGTTGCCAAAAAAAATTAATGACTTTAACATTAACAGGGTGGACATTTTTTTTGGCGGGGAGGGGGTGGTTTGAGGATAGACACCAGCGAGGTGAAGGGATGGGCCCACATGCAGACGCAGAGAGAAACACACACACAGACACAGAGTCCCACAGAGACACACAGACACAGAGAGACGCATAAGCTCACAAGACACAGAGAGAGCAACACACTCTCAGACACAGCGAGAGAGACACTCGCACAGACTCACACACACGTGTAGAGCTCCTGTCACACAGGGCAGTGTCCTGGAGTGCTTGACAGTGGCGGAGTCTGACCCCCATCCAGGGAGGAGAGAGGGAGGAGAGAGGTGACCGTGAGCAAAATCAAAAAGGAACCTCGGTCCGATTCCCAGCAGGGGGAAACCTTGGGCAAGTTTCCTTCCTCCACACGCCTGATGATAATCCCTCCAGAAAAAAATACTAATGTGGTCACTCAATCCCCGACTGTTTGTGGGACATCGCTGTGCGCAATTGGCTGCCGTGTTTATGTCTTCTGCACATGAAGTACAGGACTGTGCAGTACTGTGTGTATATGGAAAGGATGTGCTACCATAGCTTTAATATTCATGGGTTAAACATGGTACAGACACCTTGTCTTGATATCACCAGACAGTACAGTGTTAAGCCATATAAAATCCGATTGATACATAACTTTACATAAATCCTACATGCTACAACTTACGGAAGTTTGCCAGAGCTCGTACTTTACAAAATAAATGTTATTGTCCCAACTCATCCGACTTATGTGAGTTTTACTGCGCTTTCTTTCAAATAACTTTTGTTTATTTAGAATCCATTAGAATACACAGCACAGAAACAGCCCATTCGGCCCAACTGGTCTGTGCTCCACATGAGCCTCCTCCAGCCCTTCCTCAACTAAGCCATCAAGCCTAACCTTCTATTGCTTTCTTGCTTCCTCTTAAATACATCCTCAACAACTCTTTGTGGTTGCATGTTCCTCATTCCCACTACGGTGTGTGAAGAAACTTCTTCTAACTTCCCAATTTGATCTATTTGTGATATTTTATATTGATGGCCCTGATTTTGGACTCCCCCGCAAGTGGATCCATCTTCGCTTTGCTGACCCTATCAAAACCTTTCATCACTTTAAAGACCTCTATCAGGTCACCCCTTACCCTCCTCTTTCCAAGTCAAAAGTGTTCAAGTATGTTCAGCTTTTCCTGATAGGTGTAACCTCTCAGTTCTGGGATCATCCTCGTGATTCTCCGTTGCACCCTCTCCATTGCCTCTACATCGCTTCTATGACGTGGGAACGAGAACTGCACACAGTATTCTAAGTGTGGTCTAACCAAGTTTCTATGGTTTACCTTAAATTCCCTGCTTTTCATTTCTATCCCATTAGAAATGAACCCCAAAATTCTCCTGGTTTACTGCCCCCCAAAACCCCCTGGCTCCTTGCTCTCTGATATCTCCGCTCTCCTCTCCTCCCTGTCCCTCTGCTCAGAAAACCTGCTCATAATGGACAACTTCAATCTCCTCCTAAACTTCCCTTGCATCACTTCCTCAGATTTCACTGAACTCCTCTCCTCTCTAAACCTCACCCTCCACATCAACAACTGACCCACAGCCATGGCCACCCCCTCGACCTTGTCATCACACATGGCCTTGACATTTCCAACCTGTACATCACAGACAAGGCCATCTCAGACCACTTCCTTATCTCCTTCTCATCTCACATCCATCTCGCCTCCATCAAGACCTCAACCATACTTTACCACCCATGGAAAAGGCTTCCTCCCGAGACCCTCACAAAGGCCATCTCATCCTCAGACCTCCTGTCCCTCTGGCCTTCCACCCACAGTGACACTGAAGCAGCCATCAAGCTGCTCCATGATAGCCTCTCCCCCAACTTCAACTCCCTCGTCGCCCTGAAATCCAGGACCATCACCGAACCCACCCACTGCCCCTGGTACAACAGCCATCTCTGCTCCCTGAAAACCCAAACCCAGTTGATTGAGCGCAGGTGACAGAAAACCAGCCTCACGGTTCACCACCAGCTGTGGCTCGAGCATCGTCACCCCCACCCCCCCCCCCCCCCCGCGCCCTATCAAGGAAAAACTGCGCACTATTCAACCATCATAATGCAGCCCAACAATAACTCCAAATCCTATTCTCCACCACCCACCACCTCCTCCATGTGCCCCTCAAGCCCCTCAATCATCACATCTAATGCCAAGTGCGAAGAGGTCACTTACCTCTAAAATTGACAAAATCCGCAAGGCAGCTTCACCCTGTCCGCCCTGTGTCGCTACCACCGCCCCCATTCCATCTCCCTCACCCACCCCGCCCTCAGCTCCCACCACGACACCCATCATTCATTCATTTGCCACCATCCCTCCCTCCTCCCTCTCATCCACCATCACCGCAATGAAACTCACCATCAACTGCCTTGAACCCCTCTCTACCCAACTGCTGATCACCCAGATCGCCCTCCTCTAAACACTGATGGCAGACACTATTTACCGATCGTTCTCCTCAGGATCAATCCCACTCAACCTCAAAACTGCGGTCAGCACGCCCCTCCTTAAAAAACCTACCCTCGACTCCTCCAACCTCGGCCACTCCCGCCCTATCTCAAACCTGCCCTTCCTTGCCAAAGCTCTGGAACTCATTGTTGCCAACCAACTTCACGCACACCTCTCCCTCCTTACTCGAGCCCCTCCAGTCTGGTTTCGGCCCTGACTGCCCACCGCACAGAGCCAGCACACGTGAAGGTCACAAAAGATATCCTCTCTATCTATGACTAGGGCTCCCTCTACCTCCTCGTCCTCCTGGTCCTCTC